GTTCTCTGTTTATCAACAGAGTTTGTCCAGGGATTAGCCCAGAGATCAGTCCAAGAAAAGGTCCAGGGATCAGCCCAGAGATCAGTCCAAGAAAAGGTCCAGGTATCAGTCCAGGAATTGTTTCAGGGAACGGTCCTGGTATCAGTCCAGGAATCGGTTCATGTGTTGGTCCAAAAAACGCTCCTGGAATTAGTCCAAGAAGGGGACTGTCAAGGTATAAATTCAGGGATGGATCCAGGAATTGTTCCAAGGAAGCAGTCAAGTAAAAAGTGAGAAAATTTACTCCTTCAATTGGACTGGTTTACTTTTATCCAAAGTATTGATCTGACTGATAAAAGAGGGAAAAAAACAAAAAGTAAATGATTCTCATGCTGTTTATGTTTCCAATTTAATGCTCAGAGGCAGGTATGGATCTTCACAACTTTATGAGACAATTTGTTTTTCCTCCTCTTTGAAACACGCAGCTTTATGTCAAAACCTTGCTTCTTTTTCTGTTAAGTGGGACGGGGTCTCATTCACACTGCAAGCAAACTGCTCCAGGATCCAGATAAACTCTGCTGAGATAGTAACAAAATCAGAGTTGGTGAGGAAAGACGGTCAGGATAAAAAAATAAAAAATAAAGGCAAAACAATCACTGAGGAAATAATGCGTCAAAACATAAGTGGGAGCTAATGTTGAAATGTTTAACTTTGTTAGAGTAAAGCCATTGAGCCTAGAAGATATATCAGTGTTTAAACAGACATTAAAAAAGGTCAACTAGGAACGGCAGCTGAGGCACACAGGAGGTGAAAAAAATTACCAAGATCTTACAGCTTTAAAGTCAAACTTCATGTGAAATATCAAACTTACGTAAATCACATTTGGCAGCAGTGTCTTGCAAATTCATAGGAAAAACAAGTCAGGAAAGTAAGAGTCTGTGGTAAAAATGTCTGTGCAGTTTTCCAGGACCATATGTGAGTCCTGAGTAGCACCAACAGAGAGGAAGTCGGTAAAAACAGCAGGAAACGGAGCAGTTCCCCAACACACAATACCAAAACGTGATTGGAGAGCACTTCCTATTGCCATGGTTACAGGAAACTGGTCAAGGATGTCTTTTTTTATGGACTCGGTTGGAGTCTGAACAAAACACTCAGACATTTGTCAGTGAGACAGACTCAAACTGATCAGCAGGATCAAGCAGGAAAGCTGAAATAAAAGTAACTCTGCTTTTTCTGCTGGCATTCTGGTCGACTGGAATCCACCTTATAAATATTACAGTGATTCATCCGCTTACATAAGTCAGAAAAATGAGAGCTGAAACGATAATCACATAGATTGGGGTGTAAATTTGTTTCCACCATTTTTTTTCCCACATTTTTTGTGGTTAAAAACTGGTAAATTGTTTGGATTTTATTTGTTGGATTAAAATATAGCTGAACATAAGGGAATTTGTAATTATCTGCGTTTATTTCACAAACAAATCTGTTATGTGTGGCTTACAATAATTTTTATATTTAACCATATTAAACCTATTGAAAAAATGCTAATAAGATCTTATATATTTTTGTCATAATTCCAGCAGGCATCTTCTCTGTGCTAATTCACTATATTCAACATCAGGATATTATTTGGAACCATACAGTTGGATAATTTATCCGACTCGCTGGCATCCGTGAACAACTATCTATATCTATGAGACTCCCCGAACTTCCAGGAAGCTTGGGATTTCTGTTACCCTCCTCCTGTTGAGGTCCGGTCCAGTCAGTGGCCCAGCAGTCGACACTTCATACCCCCATGGGGACTTAGATGATGATGTTTTAGGATAAAAAAATGTTATTTAGTGCTGCTTTAACAGTAGCAGCTGCAGGACTGCTTTTTGCTTAAAGACACTGAGATTTTGTTTTTCTTTGGGAAACAGCTAGAGCTCAGCTAGATTAAATGTAAATTAAATGTTTTAAAGATGTGCTGCACATTTTTATTTGCATTTAGGTCTGAGCTTTGACTAGGCCATTCTATATCATGAATGAAATCATTATTTGGTCTCTGGCCAGTCCTTTTGTCAGGAACCGAGGACAGATGGACCCAGTATTTAAGGAGAGACAGTAGGAAAGTTCAAACGTTTATTAAATAAAAACAAACGCGGAGCTGTGGCTCGCGGACACTGCAGGCGGGGGAGCGGGGCACCGCCCAATCTCAGACACTCTAGGGGAGAAACACAGGTAAGTGACCACGATCAACTGATAGAAGATTATCTGTGTTGGTCACTTACCTGGTTTAACAGTCGAGTCCAATAATGTCCCCAATGCTGCAGTCCCAGAGGTCATGCTGGAAGCCGATCCTGGTCAGGGATCCAGAACAGACAGGAACAGAAACAGGTGGCAGGATCCAGACTTCCAGGCATCCACAGGCTCCCAGGAGGGTTCAGAGTCTGACTGGGACCAGAAGCATGACCAGGTGGTCACGCACAGGTGCAGACAGGATCAGGTGCAGACAGGCAGGCTCAGTGGAAGAGGGTAGCCGAGACAAGACGTAGAACCGGAACTTGAAGCAGGACTTTAAACTGGTCTCCTCCCTGGAGCCAGGCTTACTGAGATAAAAACTGAACCTCCCCACATATTGAGACAAAAACCCAGAGGACTCAGCGGGGGAGGAACAGTGGACGATCAGGAGACGAGACAAACACAAAAACCCTCTTTCCACTGGCTGCTAGGATCCAGGACATTAACCAAGACAAAAACTCAGACAACCAGACTAACAGAAAGACAAGTAATGATCTGTTACTCAATGCTCAGGCTGAACTGAATATAACGAAGAGGAAACAGGTGAGAGGAATAAATTATAATTGAGGCAGGGAGGGAAAACGGCAGGTGAGAGGAATTACTAATTAGGGAGGAGCAAACAGGCCAGATCATGACCCTTCCCTTTTGCAACATTAAAACAAGGGCTCCCCACATTCAAATCTATTCCTGCTAAAGAAGCCACTCCCCATATTATGATGGTGCTACTACTATGTTTTTCTTTAGAGGTGGTTTGTTCAGGCTATTGTTTTGTTTTGCATTTAACACCACAAACTTCCCTTTCAATATTGCCTGACTTTCATCCATATTTGCTTTTATCCTTTATTATTTGTAGAAAACTACATGAGGAACTTTTATCGGGGGTATCAGAGTAAAGGGGACTAACCAAATATTTAGAGATTACCCAGAAGAATAAAATGTTCTCCATCAGGCTCCTTAATTAAATTCTTATTCTAGTTATTGCAAAATGTTACCAAAGGTTATATAAGATGAAATCGAAGCAGCTGTTTATCATAGCTCTAAGCTATGCAGCCCGAGTTAACGGATGCAAAGAGATGGTGCAGGACGTGAAAGGCTGACTGCTATCTGATTGAGCCGGCATTCAGAGGACAAATAAACGACACAGACGGGAACCCAAAGAGGCTCAGTCCGGCAAGAGTCCAGCTCTCATTTATCTTTCTAATAAGCTTTGATGCCAGGCCAAGCTGCAGAAAAAAGGAGAAACTCTTAACTCTTGCTCAATAACCCTGCCTGACACCTCCACACTCCCTGTGATATCGCAGAGAGGAGAAATATTAAAAGATCTGCTATCAGTACCAAATTGTGGTTCAGGAGTGAGGCGATCGGGGATGGAGATTGAGGTCGCTGCACTTCTTCACCACACAAAGACAATAATATTAAGATCCTGCGCCTTTGTTTGAATGTCTTTAATTACTTAATTAATCCAACATTAATAAGATAACCAGAAGTAATTGAGATCAGCCCTATTTGGTTGATGGTTTTAAGTATTCCTCATTGAAATAAAAGCCTTGATGAAACCAAGTCTGTTATGGGTGAATCACCAGCATCTAATGGAGGGACACCATGTTCACACAGTGTTCTGTTATATGCAGCTGCTGTTTGTAAAATAAGACAACACTAGTTACCATCATGTCACCTTCGATCTGTCATTTTTCTAAACGAAAATAAACTTAATTGGACTCTAGAAAAGGGTGGAACAAAAATATATGTTTAGTGTAGAGTT